CATGCTATGAGTAAATAGCACAACTAATTAATTACAAGTAAGCAGTAAATAATTATAATATAGAAATGGTCAATAGCAATAGAAAACGATATATATTAAAAATATAACTAGATATATATACAGTTTAATACATAAGTATAATGCTTTATCACATAGTTCAAATAAATTTTTATATTACACAATACTATCAACTTACAAATCTCTTTAAAATGATATATAGCGATAGTAAATTCCGGTCATCTAAAACATCATTTTTGATCTATCTAAATTAAATGTAAATATATTATTATTTTAAGTTCTTTGATCGCAAAAAGTATGCATCAATAATGACACTTTGGATGACCGAAATTTACTATATGTCTAACTATTATGTATAAGAATTAAGTTGGTGACGCTATTAATATTAATAAATCTCAGCAATAATATTGTATACGAATTGTATCTTCAGAAATTGTTATTATACTTTATATTTAATGACATGAGTAAATTTTAGTATAAATATGTGTACTTGCGTTATTATACTTTATATTTAAATTTTATGTAATAAGTATTTTTGCGTTATTGTATTTTCTTTTAACATAAGTGGTTGACATCATTAGATATTAATTTGTTTTCTTCTTGTGTAATAGATTTAAAAAATATAAATACAAGTTTAACTAAAAGGTAACGATAAAAGAATTTTTAATACAATGGAAAACCAATCTAGAAATAGTATACCGCCACCACCATATTCTGCTGCACCTATTACTCGTTCCCGGTCAAATCTCTCTCGACTATTAAATACTAACAATATCGCTGAACCTCATCAACCACCTAACTCTAATGATGATGGTTCATCTTCTGATTCAACCACTAGAAGCGTTAGAAGTATTCAACAAATGTATTCAAATATGGGCAGATCTTCCTTACAAGTATCTCGACATCAATCATGCCAACCATTCACTACCCGTTCCTTATCTCGCCAGCCTTCCTTTACCCCTCAAAATGAACCTACTTCCTACCCTGAATCTAGATATCATTCTAGATCACACCATATTGATTCTAATCGATCAATATCTCCAGCTCAACGACCTTCTTCAAGATCATGATCACGAGAGAGATCACCAACATGTGATAGATCATCCAATCAAAATCGTATATATAGTCAAAGTAGTACGTATATAAAGGCTTTTTTTTTAACATTTGTCATTGATTTTTTTTTTTTTTTTTGGAAAAATTTTTTTTTTTTTTTTTTTATATTTATTTTTATTGTGTGCATTAAGCAAACTACAACCGCCCTGATCACTCTGATCACTCTGACCGCCCTGGCCACCCTGACCGCCATGACCACCATCAGTATCGTCAGCAAGTTGATGAGCGAATGTTCGCCCAACTTAAGCATTTATATTTAATGCTCAAAAGACTTGAGGAAAGTACAAATAAAATTAAAGCCAGGCTAGGTCGCCTGGAAAGGCATCAAGAAGAACAAGAGAACGATCTCTCTGCGCAAGTGATAGATGTAAGTGTTTTGGATTAGCAACAATTTAGATATAGCGTGTTTAAGCAGTATATAGCGTTTAGGATCTAGTGTGTTTAAGCGGTATATAGCGTCTAGTATATAATACATATTGTTTTTTAAAAATATATATAGGACGTGTTTACCTGTATGGCCAAGCAGCTCTTCCTGTATAACATATATCCTAGTCAAAGTGATTTGAAGGATGCGCTTAAACAATGCCTTGAAGAAAGGTATCCTGAGTTTATGCATAGTTTAAGTTCCAATCAATATACTAATAGATTTCATGGTGAATGGTTCAGCCTCGTATGTATCGATATCTATTGTTTTTTAAAATATATTTCTTTTAATTATGACTTATTTACTAATTTTTACAATAGCTTTTGCAAAAAATAAAGAACCTGCGAGGTGCATCGGTTCAAAACGTAAGGGCAGCAGTCTGGCGTATGTTCGGTTGTGAAAGACTACCACCATTAAAAAAAAATGCTGCACCAGCCAATATAGTAAGTTGGAAGCAAAGTGAAAAAGTTTTGGATTGTTATCGTGCACTCTTTGAAATGAATGAGGAAGGTGTCTTTTGGGTATCAATAATTGCGAGAGCAGCCTTTTTCGAGGTTGCTGTACCTATACTCTCAAATGAGCATTGCGCTTTTACGCTCGCAGTCTGTGATATTTTACTTAATCCCAAGTTCAGAAGTGTCACATGTTCGGAAAAACGTCTTATGTGTCGTATCGAAAGATATCTTGTAAGCGCCATTATTAATTGCATATGCTTTATTAATAGTAATTAATTAATTATTTTTTAATATAGAATGATTTCGGTAATGGTGGTCCATCATATGAAACAGCTGAATCGATACTAAACAATGAGAATTATGGTTCTTCACAACAAGCGTCACCCCAGTATGACCTGTCGCCCCAGTATGAACCTGAAGCAGGTTCTTCATCATTTCAGCAATCATCACAACATCAAACGGAACTTTCACAGGAGGATGCTGATGATTTATTTGGTTGCAATGATTAAATTTTTGCTTCAAATGTTTTTTTTTGAATTAGTTTACATTTGCTAGCAGTTATTATGTAATAAATTATAATAAATTTTATTATTTGTGTTATAATATGATTATACAGTTTTAGTAACAGTAATAAATTTATATTATGTATTGTAATTGGCTTTATAAATAATATGTTTTATAAATATCTTATTAGTGATATCGTCTTTTAAAAAAAGTACTTGATTGAACTGGTTATATATCGATTGATAATCTTATTAGATATATATCGATTGTTTAAAGCTGGTTATATATCAGTTTATACCAAAATCGATATAACCCAGCAGAGGTGATTAGTATCGATATATATCTAATGGGTTACCAATCGCTATATATCTCTACATAAAATTTCCCGATGCTCTTAATACTACTAATTCTAATTGTTTAAAATATAATCTTACCTCTAGCATGTATTCATTAACTCTTTTAACTGCTTCTATATGCTTTTTCCACTTTTCATTTATTAGTATTTCTATGCCTAAATCTTTTTTTTTGTCTATTATTACACTAGTTCAATATTTCTTATACTGTGTATTATAACTATGCAGTAAAAATTTTTTCTCTTTTCTGTAATATTTATTTCTATTATTTCTACTATTGTGAATTCTTCTTTTCTTGCCTATTCTAGAAGGTTTTCTATTTTCCATTCTTTTGCTTTAAGTTTTTGATGTTGTGGCATGCAATTTTAATTTTTTTCTTTTCTTGTTTTATTTTTCTTTTAAATATTTATGCCTTTTTTCTATGTTTTTATTTTCTCTTTTTCTTTTTTTTTTGTTTGCTCATTATAGCCAAGAGGTGCACCTATATTTCTTTCTTTGAAAATTCTTCTTTTACTATACAAGAACTCTCCAATCTTCTAGTCTATGCTTATTAATTCAACTGTAGCATTGTTAAGAGTAGTTAGTAAGGTCTTTTTCTATCTTTCATTTTGTTTCATTTTGTTGTACTTCTAGTTTCTTTAGTCTCTCAAGGATTTTTCCAAAAGGTCTTGGTTTCATGTCTATGAATTTTCTTTTTCTGTTGAATATATTTGATGCTTTTTTTTATTTTTGTTAAACTCTTCTGTGTCTTCTTTTTTCCCACTTCTCTTGTTTTTATACACTTCTGTATCTGAGTCTATATCTATGTCATGTATAGTTATGCACTTTTTATAGTGAGCTTTTTTTTCATTCTACTTTCTCTTTTTTGTTTCACTTTGCCAAAATAGCAAGTGGTTGTTAAATCTTATTGGTTTAGTTTGTGCTATCTTCATTTGCTTCTCTGATACAAAAATAATTATTATAGATCTTTTTTGATTATCATTTCTGTTTGTTGGTATATATACTAACTTAGCATCTCTCTTTATTAGCATTGCAGTAGCAGCACTTCAGATGCATTTCCAGAAAGCTTTAGTAATTTTGATGTGAATTGACTGTGTTAGTCTTATAAGCTATAATCTTTATTAGCTTTGGACACTTTTGCTAATTTATGTGTACCAATTGGCAAGGCCCATGGAATCTTTTCTTTTATTAAACCCTTAGTATATATTATTGCCAAGGCTTTGTATTTGGACCTTTTGATTTATTTTATTTTAACATCTTTGATGTTTTTACATATATGTTCTACCTCTTCTATATTGATATTTACTAGTAGGTTTCAAATTATTAGATAGTTTTCTGTTTTCAAATCTTTTTCTATTTGAAAAGTTTTTGTATTTTTAACTTCTGTTTTTGCTTAACTTATATTTTTGTATCCTTTTTCTTTTTTTTTCTATTTTTAACATTTGATTTTTCCATTTCATTATTTTTTTTTGTTGCTATTTGTCTTGTACTTTCTTCTTTTCTTCTCTTAATATTACACTCCTCTTGCTGTTTTATATTTTGAGTTTTGTTTTTGGTTTCTTTTGATATAAGTTTTAGCTATTTTTCTATCTTTTTCTTAATTTTGTCCATTGCTGTATCTCTACTATACTTACAGTTAAAATCTATTTCTATCCAATTATTTCCATTTTTGAATATCTCTTTAACTGTTTTAATATGATAATTTTTTTCTAGGATCTACTGAACATACTTTACTTTTTCTTTTTTGGTTTTTTCTGACAAGACATATATTGGCATATTTGCTTTGAAGAACTTATTTTTATTACTTATTTGATTATCTAAAGACCAATAGCTATGCTCAATTGAACCTGTGAAAAACATTGTTTCATTTTCTTCACTGTTTATTTCTTCTTCTTGTTCTGTTATTTCTATATCTATAGTTTCTAATTTTGTTTTTTGTTTTCTGTTAGTATTTCTTTTTTATATTTCAAATCATTAATAGCTTGACTTATTTGATATTGTATGATATAGCAATGCTAAGCCCTTTTATTTGCTCTTCTAGTATTCCTAATCTTTGTTTTAACTCTTCAGAATTGTTTTTTTTTGATTTTGTTCTCTATTAGTAAATTTTTCTGTCTTATTAGTTTCAACTAAAATTCTTATCTTATTCTTTCTGTTTTTTTTTAGTATATTTTTTCTTCTTTTATATTTGTATAGTATTCAAATAAGCTTGGATTGTAGCTTATTGACCTCAGCTTTTCTGTCCACTTGTTGATTATTCTTTCCTTAAGCCAGTTTATTTCTGCTATTTTTATAGTTTCTAATATCTGGCCTTAAACTAGCAAGTTCTACAGTATAATGTGGTTTGGGTTATAGATTGCTAAATCTTTTGCAATATGCTCTATATTGCTTGGAGCTTTTGTTGATATTTTGAGAACTTGGCCTAATATTTTGCAATCTACATATCTGCAATTTCTGTTTCTTATACTTTTAATATGCTCTATAATATTTTTATTATATGTTTTAGCCATTAGCTGATTTAGTTTAGTTGTTGCTATATTACATGCTTATTCTAGTAGACTATCTTACTACATATATTTGTTTGTTTACTTTACTTATTTTTTGTACTTTTTGTATAATCTAAATTGATTTTCACAACAGAATTACAGAAATTCTTTAAAATTTCTACAAAATTTTGTTTTTATTAAAATTTTTAATCTTTTTAAGCTGTACTACTTCTAAGCTTTTTTACTTGTATCTTTGTTTTCTAGCTAGATATAACTTTTACTGTTCTTTCTTTTTTGTTAAGAGTCTAAGTATTGTTTCTTAGTAGATTTTGTAATTTTTCTATGTTTTGCTTCTTAACAATTTTTGATTAAGAAATCTACAAAAGAGAGTTGTTTTTTTTTTGACTTTTTGTTTTTTAATTTCAACAAATTTATATAGCAAATATAAATTTTATATAAAAGGTTAGTTAGTAATTTTATTATTAAATCTTTCAGCTTAGTTTTAGTAAAAGAAATTATATATAGGTTTAATTTAGCATAGTGTTTAATCCAAATTTGCATTTTTAGTATATTATTAATATCTCTAATATTATAAATAGTAATGTTGATTTTTTTATATATTTATATTAAATTTATATAGGTTTGGTTTGTTTTTGCTTTCTACTAATTATAAAATATTTATATAAAGATGTATGCTTATAAGTCTTCTGTTATAAAGTCTTTCTTTGTTGCAAGTGTTTGTGCTTTTAGTATTATATTAATTATTTTTTTTGTTTTTAAAAATATTAAAAAATAGTTTAAATAAGTTTATAAGATCAAATATATATTCAGATACTATGTAATAAAAAAAATATTGTCAAAGAGTTTCTAAAACCAAAAGAATATTATGATGTTTTTAAATAGGAACATTTATAGTATTAATTTTTTCTATTAGTACTAATTAAAGTTTTTTAATTGTTAAGAGTAGTTTATTTAGAGTAGTGTTAGGTTTTGGTTATTTTTTTGAATATTTATCTAGTATTAAGATATAGTATAAAAATAGTAATGTTTGTGTAATTTTTTGATCACAATACTTAGTTTCTTAAAGTTAAGATTAGTAAAGTTTATTATTGTAACTAGTTTGGCATCTTTTAGAGGTTCAAAAAGTCTAATATATTTGAAGTTATAATATGTTTTTAGTAGTAATATTGAAATGCAATATATAGTGTAATGATTAGAAACTGATTAACAATGTATTAAATCTAAAAAAAATCAATTGTATAATTATTTAGCAAATATAGCATAGTTAGTAGATTTAGCAGAAACTACATATATAATAGATTTAGAATAACTAGCATATTTAGAATAACTAACATATATAGAATAACTAGTATAACTAGCAGATATGTAAATAATATATAAAGCACAAAACATTTGTATATAAAAAACCTAGAACATATTCATATATACTCTAATAAAGTATATGTTCTGTCAAATTTACACCCTCTTTTATAATAATAGTATTATTTAATATTACACAAGCCAACCCAAAATACCCTATGAATAAGGATTTTTAAGTGAGCAATTATTTGAAATATTACAATAGATAAAATCTTTTTTATAAATAGATCAACTTTTTATACAATTTGTAAGAAAAATGTAAAGTTGAATATTTTTAAATCTGAAAAGTTTTGAGATAACTGTTTATATAAAATAATATAGTTATTTGGTAGTTTTGTAAATAAGTAGTCTATTTGCAGAAGTTTAACATGTTTTTTTAAAGTCTTTTTGGTTTTTAGATAAAAAAAAAAAATTTCTTTTAGGTTAAGTATTAAATTTTATAAAATAAAAGATAATAACCTTTTTGAAATTGGTAACTCAAAGTAACTAAATAGAATTTGTTAAAAAATATAAAATTTTTGCAAAGTTTTTTCTGTATTAAGCTAGAGTTTGCAAATTGCTTTGCTTATATTAGAAAAGATATTATGTACTTTATTATTTAGATATTTGTATAAATCTGATAAAAGTTTACAATTATTTGAAATATATGTTTTAGATATTTTATCAAATAAAAACATTAAACATAAAGTCTTAACTACAAATATAATAATTTAATAATTTGAGATAGATAAGCTAAAAGAAATAGCTTTCTTTAAGTAATTAGAAATTAATATAGATTCTAAAAAT